TAGCTCATCTATTCTGGGCATGTGGTAGGCATCAGTTATGGTGTAATCGTTGAGTCTCCGGTAGTCTACACAGAAGCACGTGGTGCCGTCGCGCTTCGGTACTAGCACTACCAGGGAAGCCAAAGGACTCTGGGAGGGCTCTATAACCCCATAACTGGAGCATATCTCCTATTTCAGCAAACATATTTTCTCGTACCGCCTCAGGGATACGATAGGGTTGCTGCCGTAACGGCCTTTCTCCCTGGGTTTCTACATGATGTACCGCAGCGGAGGTATAGCCATAGCTATATAATGATGATAATTCACAAAATATACAAGTGACGCATAATATTAAATGTATGATTACTAATTCAAGGAGCATAAATAACAAAATGGGGGAACTAGAGGCATTAGCATACACTAAACAATATGATATAATAGGCTTAATTGAAACATGGTGGGATGAGACACATGACTAGGCAGTTAACTTAAATGGGTACATGTTATTTAGGAAGGATAGGAAAAACAAGAAGGGTGGTGGGGTATGTTTGTATGTCAACCATGATTTAAAGCCAAATCTTAAGCAAATGGAATGTGATGAGGAAAATGTGGAAGCTTTATGAGTAAATATATGCTTGGGGGAAAAGAAGGGAAACCAACTATTGGTTGGGATATGTTATAAACCACCTAATGTTAATATTGACGTGGAACAACAGCTGTTTGAGAGAATTGAGAAACTGCAAATCTGGGTAACACTTTAATTATTGGAGATTTTAATTACCCGGGCATAAATTGGGACAGAGGGACTAGTAGCTCAGCAAAGGGAATTAGGTTTTTAAACTTGTTAAATGACACCTTCATGTACAAGCACCAACTAGAATGGAAGCTTTGCTGGACCTGGTTTTAACAAACAATGTTGATCTTTTGACCAACATTCAAGTAGGTGAGCACTTGGGAAATAGTGATCACAATATAGTGTCCTTTGAAATAAACTCAAAAAAACAAAAGCACATGGGGTATATTAAAACATATAATTTTAAAAAGGCCAATTTCAATAAGTTAAGAGAAGCTTTACAATATATTGACTGGCATAAACTCTTTAGTGAAAAGAACACGGAGGATAAATGGATTATCTTCCAACAAATATTAGAAAGGTATATTTCTCAGTATGTACCATTGGGAAATAAATATAAAAGGAACAAATTAAAACCAATGTGGCTTAGTAGAGAAGTAAAACAAGAGATTACAACTAAGAAAAGGGCATTTAAAGCATTTAAATCGGACAAATCAGATGCATCTTATAAACGATATAAGGAAGCAAATAATGCGTGTAAAAAAGCAATTAGACTTGCTAAACTTCAAAATGAAAAAATGATAGTTAAAGAGAGCAAAACCAACCCCAAAGCATTTTTTAAGTACATAAATTCTAAAAAAAAACAAAAATGAAAGTGTAGGTACACTAAAAACTGAAACGGGGGTGTTGGTTAATGAAGACCAGGAAAGGGCAGGAATTTTAAATAACTATTTCTCCTCTGTATATTTTAAGGAAGAACCCATGACAATAGATGTGCAAATGATTGCTACTAAAAACTTGCAGAATAATTGTAATTGGTTAACTCAAGACAAGGTGTTGCAGCAACTAAAGAAAGTTAATATAAACAAAGCTCCAGGGCCTGACGGTATCCATCCACGTGTACTTAAGGAACTAAGTGCAGAAATAAGTGAACATCTGTTTTTAATCTTTCAAGATTCTTTTCTTTCAGGAAGTGTTCCGGAGGATTGGAGGAAGGCAGATGTGGTTCCTATATTCAAAAAGGGTTCAAAATCCTTGCCTGGAAATTATAGACCTGTGAGCTTAACTTCTGTGGCTGGTAAAATATTTGAAAGGTTATTAAGGGATAATATTCAAGAATTCCTTGAGAAGAACATGGTTATCAGCAAAAATCAGCACGGTTTTATGAAGCACAGGTCATGTCAAACTAACTTGATTGCGTTCTATGAAGAAGTAAGTAGAAGTATAGATCAGGGTGTTGCCGTGGATGTGATCTATTTGGATTTTGCCAAGGCATTTGATACAGTTCCACACAATAGATTAGTGTTCAAACTCAAGGAAATCGGTCTAGATGAAAATGCTTGTTCTTGGGTAGAACATTGGCTTAAAAACAGAGTACAAAGAGTTGTCATTAATGGTAAATTTTCAAGCTGGACAGAGGTGGCAAGTGGTGTCCCTCAGGGGTCTGTTCTGGGACCCTTTCTATTTAACATGTTTTGAAGACGGCATTGAAAGTCATGTTTCAGTGTTTGCAGATGGCACAAAACTTTGTAAAATAATACAATGTGAGCAAGAAATTACTTTGCTGCAGAGGGATTTAGATAGACTGGGGGACTGGGCACTCAAATGGCAGATGAAATTTAATGTTGAAAAATGCAAAGTTATGCACTTCGGCGTAAAGAATACACAAGCAACGTATACCCTTAATGGAAGCGAATTAGGGATAACAACACACGAAAAGGACTCGGGAATTGTTATAGACAACAAACTATGCAAAAATGTGCAATGTCAATCAGCAGTGGCCAAGGCCAGTAAGGTATTGTCATGCATGAAAAAGGGCATTCATTCTCGGGACGAGAATATAATTTTGCCTCTTTATAAATCACTGGTAAGACCCCATATTGGATATGCTGTGCAATTTTGGGCACCTGTTCTAAAGAAGGATATTATGACACTAGAAAAAGTGCAGAGACGGGCTACAAAATTAATCAAAAGGAATGGAACATATCAGCTATGAAGAAAGGTTAACAAATTTAAACCTATTTGGTTTAGGAAAACGTCGCCTGAGAGGGGATATGATAACATTATACAAATATATTCGGGGCCAATACAAACCATTGTGTGGAAATCTATTCACAAACCGGACTTTACATAGGACATGAAGCCATGCGTTTAGACTGGAAGAAAGAAGATTTCGTCTAAGGCAAAGGAAAGGTTTTTTTACAGTAAGAACAATCAGGATGTGGAATTCTCTGCCTGAAGAAGTAGTTTTATCAGAGTCCATACAGATGTTCAAACAGCTACTAGATGCATACTTGCAAAAACAGAATATTCAAGGATATAATCTTTCAATGTAGGGTAATAACTGCTTGATCCAAGGATAAATCTGGCTGCTATTCTGGGGTCAAGAAGGAATTTTTTTCCTAGCTTGTCGCAAAATTGTTCTTCAAACTGGGGTTTTCTGCCTTCTTTTGGATCAACAGCAAAAAAAAATGTGAGGAAGGCTGAACTTGATGGACGCAAGTCTCTTTTCAGCTATGTATCTATGTAAAGTATGTTTGAACATACACATCTTACCCAACTACTGAAGTTGAGCTTTAGCAAGGAATATCACAGAGAGGAACCTAAAGACACAATAGGAATATGTCCAGGATGATGTAAGTGCTAATTGAGATAACGTACCTGTGTTGTGGTTATGGATAAATACGTCAACAACAGGTTGATAAGTAAGGATGGTGGACACCTAGAAAAATAAGAGAACTAATGTTATCAGTACATACCTAGGCCAAACAAAATGAGTAAGGAAAAAAGATACCTGACTGAACTGAATCTAGATATGAGTTCCCACTGTGCATCCTTCTACTAGAAGGACCTAAAATATGTGTGAGAAGGAATAGGCCAAGTAATTAAACACCAAAACATCTCTAGCTTACTAGCGTGTAGCGAATTATGAGAACTAGTAAGTGCCTTAGTTGAAGGTGTGGGTTATACTAATTTAAGTAAAATAGACAGATCGAAGTGGTCTGAATACCTTTAATTGCATAATGAGGGGGTTCTTGTGTGGGCCTTACGAGGCAATGTGAAGTAGTAAATAAAATAAAATAAATAAATTGGATAGATGGGAGATACTTTGGCGCTTTATACTTTTTAAGAGGTGCCCTCGAAGGTACGATAGGATACTAGCTACTTAGGACCTATTAACCCGTTCTTGGCTCTATCCCTGCTCACTCCGACATTGACAAATAGACAGATTGATTTTTCCTTTTGCCTTTCTCTCCCTCTTAACCCTCAGCACCTATTTTAATTTTTAATCCTGTATTTTTCTGGTAACCAACATTTATTAGGGTAGTTTGACCACCCTAATTATTCACATCCCTGATTTGAGTTTTAAAGTTAATTCATTAAAAGTGATGTTTTAATATTATTTCACAATAGGGTTGCTCTCCTCATTGTAGAGGGTAGATTTGAGAGGTGTTTATATTTCCTTACCCCTCTGTCTCCCCCTCATTCATTTTATTTTTGTTAGTGTGGAATAGTAGAATGTGATATGAAAGGGTTGTAGTTTTCACTTGTAAGCAGGAAAATGTTGTATGTAAATGCTCAAATAGGGGGCAGAAATTGCATCATACTTGTTTGCCAGAAGAGGGCCGTATGTAACTATGAGGGCCACGTGTAGAGGTATCGTGGCGAAAGGCTGAGTGTGCTCAAAGTAAGTCCTGAGCTGCAGGATGGGAAAAATAGGGCTGCATGAGGGGTACAGGTGGATGGAATGAACAAATGTGGAATAAACATATCAAGGTTGTACGAGTTGTGTAGAGGCCAAGAAAGATGCCTTTGTTGTTTGAACCGGTCCATATGTAGTGGTAGGGAGAATTGACATGAATACCAGGGTGGCAACTTTGTACGTAATGGAGCGCCTTCTGAGGCTGTGATCAAAGGATAATGATTTAAATAACCAACATAATAGATTAAGTGTCTAGATGTAGGTGTAGTATGTCATGATGTAAATAACATGCTAGACTGAGGTGGCTTAATATGACATAATTATGACCGACATAATTTTAAAGTACGATTAACTAAGCCTGTGCTGTGCCCAGAAAGGGCTAAAACAATGTAAGTATTGACAGACCATGAAATAAGAAAGATTATTAGCAGGCTGTACCATAAATGCTGAACACATGTACAGGCCCAAGTTTGGGCCTGACGTATTTTTTTTTAAATTCTTTATTTTTTTTGTGTAAAGATTGAC